CTACTCTTTTATCAGCGATACTCATTTTTCAACTTCTGATTGAAGAAAAACAAGTGGCTCCTACCAGGGCTCGAAGGCAGGACCCCTGGTTCTGAGCCCAGAGTTCTACGGATCAAGTAATCCTGGTCGTGTGGAAAACTCGTTGCCTAGGGAACTCGTGGTAAAGACAAAGATTGCTTGCCCGAGAATTGAACCCGGCACCTTCAGAATTCGAATTCAAAACCGACCTCTTACGCACTCTGTTATAAAAACCTCCCACGTTGTGGCTATAATTGGAGCTGACTTTACATGAAACGTTCATGATATACACTATTTATATTGGGTTTACATTTATTAAGACTGTAATTAGTAAAGCACTATGGACATAGGTACGTAACTCCAGAATCAGTTTCTTAAACGTCTATGAAGCCATTTATTCACGGTTCAGCGTTACAGGTGTAATGTTGGACTGTTATTTGATATTCACCAACAGTATCGACATAAAGAGTCGCTAAATGATTAGTGTGTAGTAGAAGATAGGTCATAAAAGTACTTTCTTGTAATAAATGCGTTGCGAAAATATACTCTGGAGATATTTTGAAGATCACTGCATTTTTACTTGTGCTTTAGTTTTTCGCTTTTGTGGCGTGCATTGCCTTTGGCTTTGATTCCTTTCTGAAGTTTCGAAAATGGTACAGTAGCACCACGGCGACGCGAGGCAATCCAACGTAAGTGCAAATCGTTGCTATCGCCGTAGTCGCTTTGCCGCCACCGCCGCTCGTGTGGATTCTGATGACATCATCAAAGGAAAGTTCTGCTATAAAATATCATAAGCGATACGCATAATTTAACTGTATATGCTGTTGCCAAAGCTTCGTATGTACATAATCATTATCTTCATACACGCCGGATACAGTAGCTGCTTTTTAATAAACGTTAGCCTATTAAAAGCAGCATTAAATGTTTAAAATGCGATAACAAGCAAGTTAACAGAAATAATCAAGCAAGCCAACGGAAATATTTGAAATCAACAAAATATGTTCAGCGGTTTGCTATACGAATCAACTAACCACTTTGCTGATCGACGTCCATAGGCGTCACACTCTACAACAATAAAATTCGTTCAAATTGATCTTCAACGCGGTCATTAAAATATATAAACAAAGTTAATGATACAATGGATGGGATAATTACTGACTGACTTAGCGTACGGGTAATACAAAACATCCCGTTCATAAGGTAAATTAGTGAAAGTTTGACGCGACTTTATTATTAAATTATTAATAATTATTTTCTTAGCTCGCTGTTCGTCAAGGTATTTAGTGGTGCAATTTCATGTTTATGATGTTTCTGATCTTCCGTTTATGCACCTGTTTCTGCGAACGGCATTCATAGTGGGACAGTGAGTGCTCAACATGCTTTTCTCAGTTGTCTTTCAATGCTCAAAAATCATTTATTGTCATTGCAACAGTCAAAGGACTTAGATTGAACATGCCGTAGTTTATAATCATTTAATCTCTTTCCTGGAAATGAATTTCTAAAATGCACAGGGGCGGAATACAATGGCAATATGGGACATTTTTTGCGGAACGGTAGAACAAGTTTTGCACATCAGAAGCATGATTTATGCAAAGACTGATGATCAATGTCATGAAGATAACCATCATTAAGTAACGATAAACCATCATTAAGTAACGACCAGCAAACATAATTTTCAAAAAAAAAGTAAGGGTTCAACTTGACTTAACTTCACTCCTGCAGACATATTTTAAAATACTAACTGGAAAGTTTTCTAAAGATATATATTTGGACATCGCCGAACCACCTGGAGGCTAAAAGCAACGGTTTGTAGACCAAATGATGTTAGGAGCAAAAATTAGATTAGAGGTGCTGTCGTGAAGCATCACCCGCAGGCAGCTAAGTTCCTCATTCAATAGAGTCTCCGACTAACCACGGTGAAACCTTCGATCGAGCCCGTTTGTCAGTGGTAGATAAGTAAGTACGCACTTTGAGGCAATGGAAACGGGAAATTACGCACTGTAATGCCAGCGTAATGGTGGTCAAGGTCTCCAAAACAATAACAACGAGATGCTTTCGGCTAATAACGCAGTTCAGTGCTGCATCATAACCTACAGATTGCCACAAATGCGCTTGATCATGGAAGTTGGCATCTGTAATGGATATATATGTTCAAGTCATTAGCTACTGAAAACATGAAACTGAACGTTGAGTTTAGGTGTAAGCCTAAAAATTGCCATCTAGTCACTAAAAGTTTCAACGCTCCTATCAAGCGGCACAAATTCCACATGACCACTAAAATGTATTCAATTAAACAATGGAACTAGGAACAAACAAACCGTTTTTTGCGTGTAATGGTTATTAACGAATTGTTTGTTAAGCAGTTAACTACGATGACATTTTTATATTCTTGGCGCCCCGCTGTTTAGAAAGTTTTGTCCCGTTACTGCCTTGATGATGCTACAGGGATGGTAAGAAAAGTGCTGGTAATGTTTCGTCACAGGTTCGGTTTGCTGGTGTCTTCAGCCACAGATCGACGAACTGGCTACAGGATTTACCATTTGCAGATAAATTCTGCTTATATGAGCAGAGACGTGCGGCTACTGTCAATGAAATCGACAAGCTGACGAACTTACTGTGTCAGAAGTGGAGGCGATTTCGCGATCCATCATTTTTACCAACCAGTCTGAATCATAACCTCCCTCGTGTCTGCACTGCTAAAAAAAGAAGTAAATACGGGAGTTGTATTTCGATGTGCCGTACCAAGCGTATGCCCAGATGCTTCCTATTGGCAGCCGAAGTACGTGCTGCAAAATAAGGACTAATGATAGGTGTTTCATGATGGTTCATTTCAAAAGAATTCTTTGAAGCGATTAAAGGTTTATCTAAAATTTAAGATAAGTAATGTAATAGAGTACAATTCAGCCAGTAAAGTGAAGTAAAATAATCAGACTGTTCTTTACTAGTGATTGTGCAGTACGAAGAAAAACAATATCATATTCAGAAACATCATTGGTAATGAGTCAAACAATATCCATTTCACCAAAATTTGATAAGCTTCTATCAGCTGTAGATGGCCAAACTATGTGCAAATGTCCTTGAACCCCTAGGCACCTCGGTTAAACAGTTAAAATTTACGCTAACTTATTAACAGTGAAAAAAGTAAAATAATTTATGAATGGCACTGTATATTAAAGCATTTCCAAACTTACACTTCACTCAAATCAAGCAAATTAAGTATTATCCATAATGTTAGAAATTTTTAATATGATGTCTGCCTCGCTACAACAGACAAACGGCTGAGGGGGATAGTAAATATTTTCAAGTTATGTCTAAACGTACAAGATCTATCGCTGCAAAGAATGCAATCAGTCAATTTTCTTACCTTAGCAGCCACCTAAATAGCTCAACTTTTAAGCGGTTACAAGCCATTACGTGGTCAAGAGATACTTGTAAAACAAAAAAAACTACAAAAAGCGATAAATTCAGGGGGACCTTGAGTATATCGCGAAAGAAAGATAAACATCACGCTCTAAAAATGAATATACACTTTATTAAGTGTCAGTGCTCAAGCTGACGTGCAGAGACCCTTCAAATTTTCAGAACCGAACGAGTCGAACATCCCTCTGAAGCAACAGCGAACAAATCGTACACAAGCGAAACGAGCCATACGTCGAAGCTACTGAAATGTACGGAACTGTCATTACGATCGCTAGTGCAAACGTCTTGGTTTCATGGATCACCCAACCGTTCCATGTCAACGCAAATTTCCACAAAGCCCCTCGCGACTGAGAATTGGAGGATAGCATAGAATAGTACTGCCATAGAAGTGAGCCAGTCGCGGAAAAATTGCAGAACGGCCTTGACTAATGATGGCTGCACTTATGTTGAAGTGAATGGGATCACCAGACTAGCATCAATAAGCATCAAAATTCACCATCCTGAAAGCAACCGTATTCGCAGTGTTAATTTACAGTCTTGAAATACTTCTGCCTTAAAACAACGCAAAGACCATTTCTACAGGATACAAAAACACTTTCTCTGAATTAACACGAAACTATTATGGTACATTCAGCCATAACCTATTAAGTCTCCTTCGCCGCACTTTTCGAAGGCCAAACGAAAAGTAACGCTGCTGCCAGAAAGGAAGCCACATTGGTCACTGAATCTTCTACTCTATCTGGTTTGAAATAGGTTATGGGCATTCTCACAGGCGATAGTAGGTACCTACTTTTCAGCAGTTCATTTCCATAGATAACCATGAAAAAAATAAAACAGATAACTGAAGCGAAGAGAAAACGACTGAATCAAAAAATAATGGAGTAAAATAGATCTATGCAGCAATCACACATTGTCTTAAGTCAGATGTACGCATGAAATAATTATAGTTGGGGACATGCGTTTTTTAAGCGCGTTTGGCATACTTGAGCGAAGCAGCACGTTTTGATCTGACAAAATGTCGTGCAGCGCCTGCTTGAAACGTTGCCTTCCACTGCAGTTCTGAACAAAAAAACTTAAGCGTAAAATCAAGTAACAGACATCTGACTCTACCTCTTGTGTGGCAGCACCATGAATTCCAAATTGTACATTTTCGTCATTCTGCAAAAACTTTAACAAAACGGACGGATGAGTGATCTAGCTAAATAATCTTAACATTTACTACCTTCCGTCCAGCGGTTGATGGCGCTGAGCGAACCATCGCACACATGGGGATATTTTCCTTGTCTTCGTTCTTAAGCATCGACGATAGCACAGACGAACGTTGCATACAACGTCGACAATCTTACCAACGGCAAGGGGCGCTGCATCGCTTGCAAAGAACAAACCACAGACAACCGCCAACCACAGATAGTCGGAATCTTGACGTTCAGGTCCATCACAAAAGCCGCCACGAAACTTTTAGGATGGGAAAAATCTTCACAATCCAACTCCACAGCATTCCTGGACAAGACACACGAATTCGGATATCTAAAATAGATTAATGGATGACAAGGAAAATTAGTGAATCTTTTAATCTTTGAGTAGTGATCAAACCATGCAGCAGTACTTAAATTTGCAAAATATACTTAATCATTTACGGGCGCAGAATGATGATATATGGGCAAAACAGCTGAAGATCTTAACGACAATTGATGGAGGACAGTTGGAAAATGAAAATAAAACAATACGCACTTAAGAACTCAAGATCGTAAGTTTTTCAAAAAAGCAAAATCAACAAGAAGCACGGCACCAAAATGGAAAGGTAGCATACAGTAAGAGGCAATTAGAAGCATGTTAGCAAAAATCTGGGGAAACTAGATTCATTTTAATTTAAGATTGAATATAGACAGCTTTCATAAAAAAGAACGATGATAACTCGAAAACAATGATAATCTTCGCTCCGTATAAATTGCCATCAAAAACCATCGAAATATATGATCGATATACTTGCCACGTTATGGACTGGCCATCGGCTTTCTTTGACACAGCATTGGTTAAACTGCTGAAAAGGCGTGAAGAGAGTATGGCCTGATTACTTTTTTCGCAGATTGTCGAACCATGTCAACTTCTCGTCGAACCCTGCTACGGAGGTTAACTAACGCCGAAACGTGGTCGTTTCTGCCTCAGCCATATCATCTGACTTTTAATGGGCATTGCATTGTTGCAAAGTGTTTATCAGCGTTAGCGTGATCTTGAAGAAGCAGCAGAGCAGCATAGGTAATGAAAGTTAAAGAAGCCAGCACCATCCTCGTTTCAAAGATCACTTTTACCATCGATCGAGATGAAGGCTACGAAATATCTGTCACGCGACTTTTGCAGAGGCACCGTTTCCAAGGCCCTTATAGATTCTTCACCATTTTTGTCTTCGCTGGATTCAGAATTCACGCGCATCGACACAGTCTGAAGAACAGACAGCTGATGTACGTCTGATGTTTCACCAGACTGAAAAATAACAGCTGCAATGGTTTGGGCACGTCCTTCGAATACTTCCAGCAAGAAAGGAGAAACAGTAACCATTTAATGTAATCTAATGTAATGTAATTCTAATCATTTAATCAACTGACTGGCCGAAGTTTAAACGTTGTCAGAGAATGAGTAACGTTGGAGACTTTGTCCGCGACCCAAAAGGATAAGCGGTCATCGAAACTGATTGGCTGACTGAATTAAAGACAAAATATGCAGGTTATTTTGATCAGGATTAGAAACCGTGATCTTTACGTTATCAAGTCATTGCATACCAGCTAAATTAGTATTATTTTGTAAGACGAGAACGAATCGAAGAGTAACAACATCGAAGTCCGTAAAAAATCCATCGAGTAGCTTCCTGATGCAAAATAATTGGTGAATCGGTTAAACCAGTAAAACGACTTTATAAACGAGGGAAACAAAACAATTTTTAAACAAACTTGCAAAAAATATTCATGGGTCCAACAACAACAATGGAATACTTACAAAAAGGGAATGTGACGCTGAGGCGTGAAGCAAACTTCGAAATACGAATTGTTTCGATCGCTTTTCGGAAGAATGAATCCGTACTAAAGCAAATTCATTATAAACTAGGTGTTCAGTGAAGCATAATCATAATTACCATATTCTCCCAGTATTCGCAAAGGCTTTCGAAATTAGGAAATTTTGAATTTCTTGGAAAGCCGTCATGCACTCGAACAATTTCACCAATGGTAAGTCTGGAAAAGTAGAAAAAAAATAAAAAACCGAGCTCATGACGAAAATGTAACCGTAATGAGCATACGAACAAACTCAGTATGCAATAACTGCCAGCGCATCCTCACATAGATGAGACACGTGCATTACGAATGAAACAATCGACCATGAAACCAGTTTATAAACCTTTGCAAAACAATAAATTCCAAACACAAATAAACTTAACTTACTAGACATGATTATATTCTTAACGCTCTTTAAGTCACAACTAAGGTATAACTTTGTTATCAGTGACGAGGAACAGAAACTGCAAGTCAGGGAAAATGGGGGTCTAATGTTTTACCTAAATACCGCTGTAACCAAGAAAACGTCTTTAAATTCACTGCATATAAGGACAAAGCACTTTGATAGAAATGAAGGGGAGTTTCTGCAGGATATTAGAAAAATTTCTGGCCATGCGAAAATCTAAAATCCTTTTGGCAGGAAATGCACTTGAAACTGACGCGTTTACTTAGCTACAACATGTTTATAACGAAACTTATTAGTTAACGTGTTATGGACCAAAAAAAACTCCAGAGGATATGTAATCATACCGTGAGCAAATGATCATTATACTCGCTCTGAATGCTGCGCCGTACTTGCATGTCAATTCTGATTAGGTAAAGGGAGTAGAATAAGGAAGAATAATGACTGACACAGAAGCAACAACTTATTTTGCTGTTAACCACTTATACAAAATTTCTAAGACGTATTCACTGATAGTGATGGAGCCACGATCATTGGGGACAGCAGAGACTAAAAGAAATAAAACAGTGAAAAATAACGCAAGAGCAAATCATCCACTATCATAGCATCCATTCATCTATAGTCAAAATTACAATGTCGTGAAACCAGCCAGCATTAAGTCGCAAAGAAAAAACGTAGCAAAAAACAAGTAGGTTCACTTTTCATCGTTACCTTGTTGAAGGCTGCAAAAGATATTCCACATTCACAACAGATTACTTTAGGCTACTCTGACATAAATGTAATAAAGCAGAGTTGGTGAAATTAAAAGAAAGCACGGTTTATTTAACAGATTGCAATACAGTAGGTGGTTATTGAAAAAGACAGACCTTACCGGACGCTCTAGTACGCACTGGCAGAACTTCTCAAGTTAAGTTCGTGCATAAGTCCTCCAAATCGATTCGATCACAAACGCTCCCGTCGGAAAGAAGGGAATAAAAAACCTTCATCTTCTAACGGAGCAGTGATAAGGAGAATCGAGAAACCTTGCCATGTTTTTTGAGACAATTCTGTCCAGAAACACATTCCGAAATTACACATCCCGAAGAAACGTAGGCCACCATCTATATTAATCCTTGAACGCGGTAAATGTTTTTATGAACCTCATCCTCTTCGGAACAAAACGTGACCGGTTTTGGTGAGAATGGTGGAGAAATCAGATATGTCCGGAGGAGGATATCCTTAATGGTGAGAAAGACAGCCTCTTTCGCGCCAACTGGATGGTCATGACCCAAAAGTCATGCACACGGAATTTTCAAAAAAAGTGTGCGTTGTTTGACGTCAATTTCAATAAGGATGAATTAAACCGTGATTTAAACCGTGCTGTTTTAATTTATGTTAAATTACTATTACTAAATTTTCAGTAAAAGAAGCGGGTGTTCATCATAACACCGGATTCAAAAATAATCACTCTTCGATATTTCGGACAGTCTGGCTAATCAGCGTTCAACAAACGACGGTTGAAGGGAAGTAGCATTACTTTGGCAAAACGGCACAAGACCTGGCCGCCTCCCTCTGCTGCCCATCGTTGAACCACAGCGTCGAAAAGTCGGCAAAACTATATGGAAAAAATTTCAATTCTTTTCCGGTGCACCGAAAGACCAATCTCGATCCCTCATAGGTGACAAACAAATCTACAACAGACGATGGTAAACATGGAACACAGACGACATTGCTTTCTACTGATTGCTCTACATCGTTTCTTCGTAAGGTCCATCAGAAAATCCCGACCTAATCAGAAAGCAAATTAGTAGAGTGACGCAACCATGCGATAAAACAAAAACAAAAAGTTGAACAAAATAAAAAAAAACAGAATTATAAAAATTAAAAACAAGGCATTTCAACTCAAACGAAACATGCAAAAAAAAGTTTGGTGAAAAAATTGAAAGCAACAAAACATATAAATGAATCGAAATTAAGGCGACGAACGCTAAAGAAACTGTAAGCAAAGTGTCACATATCAAGTCAGCCAGGGGGCAAAGTACTCGAAAATGTCAGTAACTGTTGTGCTACGCAGCAATGACAAAATGTGCGAAACACATGCGAGGAAATATAAGTTAAGCAGCTAAGGCTGTTTCCGGTGATTCTTGGTGCAAACAATTAGCAAGTAACTACGGAATATGAAACAAGACTGATCACAGACAGAAAAACAAAAGACAGCAGCAAAAACTAAGAGCTGAGGTTTTTCTTCTGATAAGTCCGTTGTTTCCTGCAAGTATGGTTGGTTACTCTGTTATCATCCATTTGCTTCCGTTAAAGCCTGCTATTAATTTAACCTCTGCACCCATGCAGGACTAACAGAAAGGACTGCATGACACGAAGAAACATCGCTGAGAACATTTTAAAAGGAAACTCTCTTACCA